TCCCATCCTTTTGTCTGTTTTTAAATCTGAAGACGGTCTCATTAAGTTGTCCAGGCTAGGCTTGAAGACCCGCCTGCCTCAGCCTCCTCGGGTGCTTGGGATGCCAGGCGTTTGCCACCAAGCCCAGCAAACTATTTTACAATCAAGAGAACAAATGCACTAGCTACAAATGATTTTACCTGGAGGGTCAAAGTTTGTAGTTCTACAACCTAAAATCTCTCTTGCAAACTGCTTTTTCTGGTAGCATCCGTTCGTGGGAGTAATGGGGGAAGAGTTAATCTCACCCTTTCGTTCTTTCAGAAAGACACAATGAGGCTCCAGAAACCTGTCCGGAGTCTGCAAAGAAATCATAAACCGTCTAGAGCCCAATCTTCCAATCCTAAGTGACACTCTGAGCGGCCCAGGGGACAGCCCTATCCCATAGTAAAGAAGAGATCAGCATAGCGACGCCATCGGAAGGCTTTTGGTTTTAACCCGCCTAGGTCCCCAAGGGCAGCGCCAGACCACGGCCTAGCCCCAATCGTTTGCCTCTGGCCCTAGTTGCTTACGCGTGGTTCGCATCCAGCTCAGCAGCGCCGGTCGATCTGCCGGAGCCACAGCGTCTAGCAACTGAAGTATTGCTCGCTGCGCGGAGCGAAAGTCCATATTGCACTGACCCACGGCAGCTGGGAAGTTCGCATTGCGCACGTGTAAATAGTCACTTCGGGACAGTCTACTCCGCTCAGCATGGACCCCGCCTTTCTGGGGCCCAAGCTCCGCCTCCTCCTGGAGTTCCCAGTGGGCGTGCATCTAAATTACTTTTTCTTAAGGTGGCTCCTCTAGGCCTGATTTCTTCCCAAGACTGCGTCTCAGGAGAGCCTATTTTACTACTAATTGTGCTGCCGCAGTTACTCAGCTGTTAGAAAACTGAAGCCAAAACCCATCATGGAAAGAAACACCTTTCCAAGCTCTTTCATGAAAGAAGCCGGAGGAACGCGGCTCTGTGCCCCGGAAGCGGAAGTGCATACTCCCCAGGAAAGGCTGGACCACGCCGAGTGATGACGTCTCCTCATTGGGCGGAAGGTTCGCTGGCAGTCGTCTGTCCTCCAGCTGGTGGGAGTTAGCGTCGCAGCGCTGGGTGCTGGGACCCTAGTTTATATTGTTTGAGAAGTTGGGTTGTGAGGTCGTGCCTGCCTGTCTGCTCCAAGCTTTCCTGGTTTTCCTCCCAAGACGTGGGGCCTCGCGAAGGACTCCCCGGCCCTTTAGAGCCACGGCCTTAGCAGTGTCTTGCAGTAAGTGTTTACTTTCCCCTCTCCAGACCATAGAGGGGCAGCCCCCATCCTGGTGACAAGGTAGGAGACTCCTGAGGAAAGCTGTTTGCCTCCCCACCGGCTGTCATCGCCGAGTCTGATGTACTCTGGCCCTTCTTTATCTAGTGTCTTCCATCAGAAGTTTTTCTAAAAGGTGAGCTGTGACCCTTTAAGCTGTCTTTAAAGTGACATGAGCCAAGTAAGATGTAGGCATTCGTAGGCTTGACCCTGGTGTTTGCTTTCCTGAGCAAGGGTTCAGATGCGGGTACTTCCCTGAAAACCTTTTAGGGTGCCTAACACATTGCCCTGCGTACAGTAGACGTTAGGTAATAGATAAAGAACATCAGTTCAGTGCCGATGATAAGATATACTGGTGGCTTTCTGTTTATACCATTTGATCCTATTGACCATTTCTTAAAACTTTCCTGTTTGCTTTCTTTGTGCTGTCCTCATGTGGTTCTTTAGTAAACTTAATTCAACTAAATATTTACCTGTGGTTAACTATAAAGATACAGAAATGAATGATGCAGACTCTGCATTGAAAAGCTAATAGGTAAATAACAGGGGCAGATAAATAATAGCCTGTTTCTTCATCTACCTAATAGGCTCATTATGAGGATGAAGGGAGATTAGGTAATGTTTGGCAGTGCCCAAACATAGCAAGAGGGAGATAGAAGAGGGAGATAGTTCCCTCAAACCCCCTTACCCTCAATTTTTTTTATATATATAAACGAAGAATATTGGGGCGGGGATTTACCTCAGTGGTTCTGGCGCCTGCCTCGAAAGCTCAAGGTCCCGAGTTCGATCCCCGGTACCAAAAAAAAAAGAGTATTTGCAAAAGAATCTGCAGGTCTTCCTTCTGAACAGTACTACTAACAGTGCAGCTAAGATAGATGGAATTACAGAAGTACTGTTTGGAAAATAGTGTCAGCCTACTGTAAGATAACCATAAGTAGTAACTTTTCATTCTTTTTAGAATTGATTTTCTTCAGTGTGCCTTTTGGGGGAAAGGAAGGGAGTTAGTGAAATCTTCTGTCTTAGATTACTTTTATTTTAGTTGTTTCTCCCTCCTTTTAGCTGGGCCTTAGTCATTGCTGCAAACCATGGTCTTCCGCCGACACACCTTGAGAGTTCTCATCTACATCTGTGACTTCCATAGCATCATCCTTTTATGCCAACCATTTCCACACCATTTTCTGTAGCCTCCTCATTGAGAATGATAATTAGGAACTTTCTACAGATTGAATAGGCCCAAAACCAAATGCACTATCTCCATCTTCCTTTTCTTACTATGACGTATACATTCAAAAGTATATAAAAGCAATGATTCTCAGTGTGTGTTGACTTTTAACTTTTTGTTATATGCATGTTCACTTTTTAAAAGGGTAAGCTGGCTGTGGTGGCATAGGCGTGTAGTCACAACTACAAGGGAGGCCAGGGCAAGGAAGATTGCTCGAGCCCAGGAGTTTGAGACCACCATGGGCAACAGAGTGAGAACCTGTATCAGAAAAACAAAACAAAAAAGGGTAATACAACGAACACATCCAACTTAAGCAGTAGACCATAACAGATAACCCTTAAGGCTCCTAAATCTTTTCTCCATTGATTTTCGAATTAACTTCCCCTTTGCCCTCTGTTCATTGGTTAATGGCATCACTTGCCAGGTGGTTATTTAAGCTAAAGATAGTGGAGTTATTTTTGCCTTTCCTCCTTCTTGGCCATTTGGACGTTAGGTCATGTAGATTCTGCTTTTTTGATCCTAGTCCCCTTTTGCCATTTGCCTTCTTTTTCCCTAGTTCAAGCACACTCCTCTTTCTAGTAGACTTTTAGAGTATAGCTAGCGTTTGTAGTCTCCTGATTCCGGAGTTTTTCACTCAGATGTATTTGCTACATTGTCTCTAAAGATATTTTTATTATATTGTATAAATGTATATATTTTAGACAAGGTCTTGTTATGTTGCCCTGGCTGACCTTGAACTCTGGGCTCAAGTAATCCTGCTTTGTTTGGATGTATGATCTTCTTTTCTCCTGGATACATACTTGGAGTGGAATTGCTGGGTCTTGTAGCAACTCTGTGTTTAACATTTCCAGGAATTGCCACCTGTTTTCTAAAAGACTTTGCCACTTTATTCCCACCAGCAATGATGGAAGGTTCTGATTTCTCCGTATCCCTGCCAAGGCTTGTTACTCTCTTTTTGCGTTCACTATCCTAGTAGATATAAAGTGATATGTTACTACAGTTTCGATTTACAATATTCTGATGAGTAATATTTTGATGTTTTTAGACTGTATATATTTTATAGTCTTCCTTTTGCATTTAAACATTTTAACATTAACAGGCATATTTTCAAAAAACTTTCTCCCATTTCTGCTTCCTTTTCCCCTTCCACCAAGCCATAATTCTTGTGAAAACTTGCCTAAATTATATACCTAGAAAATAAAATCTGTAGGAGTATATTTCAAATTATTATTGATTGTTACCAGGGGATGGGAGTGAGTGGGAGTAGGAAAACTATGTTTTCTATCTTAAGTATTGCTATAAGACCTTAATTTTTGCAATAAACATGTATACTCTTATAATTGCAAAGTGTAAAGGTGAATTATTTCCTTGGAGGACTAAGTAAATTCATCATGAAAAACAATTCCTAAATTTGAAAGTCATTATATAATAGTCAAACATAATAATTTATTAAATAAAACAGCTAAGGTGTTATGTTCAGTAAATTTACTTTTCTGTGATCCTAGATTATGAATGTACATGCTCTGCAGGATTTTAGTACAAACTTTTTTTTTTTTTGGTACTAGGAATTGAACTCGGGTCCTTGAGCTTGTGAGGCAGGCAGCGGAACCACTGAGCTAAATCCCTGGCCTGCTCTGCAGGATTTTAAAAAGTACATTTGTTTTTATGTCAGGAAAGCAAATACTGGTTTTGAGTTTTTCACTAGTTTATAAAGTATATTATATAGACATGATTTTTCTAAAAATGTTTTCTAAAATTAATATGTTTGGTCTTGAGTCTAATATTGATTCAGAAAGTCATTCAGTGAGTGTGGTGGCACATGTCTCTAATCCCAGCTACTCAGGAGGCTGAGGTAGAAGGATCACAAGTTAGTGAGACACTGTCTCAAAGTAAAAAATTAAAAGGGCTGAGGATGTAGCTTAGTGGTACAGCTCCCCTGGGTAGGAGTGCCAGTACCAACCACCACCACCGGGGGAAAAAAAGGCACACAGGAGGGTTTAGAAGAACTTTCTGGTAGGGGTTTCATTGTGATAGGATTTGAAATCTCTGATCATTAGAGTTTATAAGTCTCAGACCGGGCAAGGTTTGGGCAGGAATACTTGTAAGAGAAAGGTGGCTTGATAGGCACTGTATCTCCTCTTGAATGACAACTAGGTACTTGCAGTTGGCACTAGATGTTAAGACTCCAGGGGTGGTTACTGGATAATGAGTGGGACCTGCACTTTAGTATGGAATTCAGAAATTCAGATGATATGGGGGGGATCTGGTTTATATCATTTAAGAAAGGAAGTTAGTATGCTAGCACTTGCAGACATCTCATTTAATCCTCACCACAGCCCTTAAGGATAACTACCTTGGTAATGGTATTACTTCCACTTTGCAGATGAGGACAGCAAGGCTGAGAGATTAAGTAACTCACCCAAAGTAACACAGACAGTGTGTAACTGAGCTGGAATTTGAAACCAAGTCTGTCAGACTCCAAAGCCCAGGCTCTTTCTAGTACTTCATGCTGCAGCTAGTAAGTACCAGCCATGTGCTTCCCTTACATGGGGGACCCCAAACTTGAACCTGTTTCTGTCAGTCACTATCCAACTCCCGTTCAGCGTCCTGTTAGAAGAACCTGTGACTTGGGCCAAGAGCAGTCCTCATACTGATTGCAGTGGTACTTCCTGGCTCTTCTGGACATGGCAAATATGCTTCTCAAAGAGGGATGTGCACCTTTCCTTTCAAAATACGATTTTCTCTATTATAGTATAACAGCAAAAATTCTCCCTGGAATTTTCCAGCAGGTATATTCATCTGTACTATTTCACAAACCACTCATACTCAAGGGCAGTGGTGGTGAACCTATAGCACCCATGCCGCAGCAGGCTGTTTTTAATCAGCTAAAGTTCTAAAAGGTTCGCCATCACTGCTCTAGAACTTAAAGCTGTGCAACCAAAGGGCTGTAGGAAGTCTTTTGGGTTTTTGGAGAGGATGGCTTTTCTGTTCCTCACTGTGCTTGTATCATAAAAGTGTTGTGAGGCTAGAATGAGATAATAGATGTTAAACTATAGAATGTATTATGTAGTGGTCACCTTTTCTTTTTAAAAGCCCCAAGTAGAGACGATGCTTTTGTGAACTTCTGGCAAACACAGATTTATAAATATTTATAAATA